GCCTGCAGTGCCTGGTCGAGTCAGTGCTCCAAATCTCTGTCACTGTTAGCTATCGTCATTATCAAGTGCCATCAAGAGTGGCCATACAGGGAGTTTATATCATGTCATCTAGGCCTCACTAAAGCACCACAAGCCAGGTTCCTCTTCTTAATACAGACACGGGCTCAGGTTGGCGACGTGACTTGCTCAGGGTCACCAAGCCAGGAAGCAGCATGGCCTGGACTTGGATGGGTCTGCCTGGCCCTGGCGACGGCCTCCTTCCCAGGATTCTGTTCGGCCCAGGGAAATCTCACCAAGTGCTCAGCAGCAAGTGAGGCTGGGCCTTCCTGCCAGGGAACCTGAGTGCCACTTTCCTGGTTTCTTATTGGGACTGAGCATGAGTGCTGGCCGTCATCCCAAGGATTAATGCCAAGGATCCATGCCAAGGCAGAGGCTTTTTGGTGGGGTGGTGGGCAGGGCTTCGGACATAGATCTCAGGCCTAGCTTTATTGTAGATGGCGTGGGCCAGGCTTCCCTTTCTGTGCCTCAGTTTCCTCATCCTCAAAGTGAGAGGTCACAGAGGAGAATGGAACTGCGATTACAAGCAACCCGCAGTTGCTCTGTGCACAAAACTCCTTCCCCTTTGCAGCAGCCCTGGGTTGGGGGTGGGCACTGTCCTCATCCCTCGTTTTGGAGGGGGAAGTTGAGGCCTGGAGAAGTTGATTCCCAGCTTCACTCTCTGCATTGCTGAAAGGGGTGGGGGCAGGTGGGGTCCCCTGTCTTTATGCCAAGAGGTGCCTCTTTTTCCAAAACAGACACAGGCCTTTCTGTGAGGTTTTCCCAGAAAGAAGCTGCAGCTCCGTGGACGCTGGCTGGGGTGGGGCCAGGGAGGTGCCATAGCCCTGTCTCATCTCTGTGTTGGGAGGGATGCGTGAGTTGTGTCCTCACGGGGGTGGGTGTACCTGGGTGACCGGGAGATGTCCTGTGTATGCATGGCCAGGAGGGGACTGCTGGGATGAGGAGGGGCTCGGGGCTGAAGATGAAGTAGAAGCACCTGTGTGTGGCACAGGTGCACATAGGTAAGATAATCTGCTACTGTGGCCACTTTTTGCCAGGTGAGGGGCTAAAGGAAATAGGGGGAGATTCAATGAGTAGATAAGCTCCTATAAATTTGTCTTAATTTTTGGAGCTTTTCTGCCACAAAATGTAAAAAAGCTCATAGATCAAGCGAGCTAATTGTGCCTGGGTTGGCAGCTTGGGTGCCCTCCCCCCATGAACAGGTGTGGTGGCTGTGATTTAATCCCATGTTTTATAAGGTGCAAATTTAATGAGCCGTTCTTTCTCAGCAACATAAACTCAAGGAACGAACGCTATAATTTTGTGCTAAGTGAGTTTGTGCACCCGGATTAAATGCGTTCACATTTCCTCGTGTTTGGCGGAGGCTCCCGGGTGTCCTGTTGTCTGAGCTCATCGGGAGCCTGGCTGGCTGTGGGTCAGCGGGAGGCCGTGGTGTGTGGCTGCGGTTGGCTGTGAAGGGCGTGACCATGCCTGTCCTTGAGACGAGCTGGTCACAAAGCGCGTTTTGTGAGTGGAAAGGAATGCGGGAGTCATGGATTTCTTTCTGAGTCTTTGCGGAGGAGGAGTGCACTGTTCACTTGTGAAACTGCCGGACCCAGTGTCCAGGCTTCTGTGTGTGTGTGTGTGTGTGTGTGTGTGTGTGTGTGTGTGCGTGCGCATGTGTGTGGTTCCAATCTGGGCTCTGAGGCTCAGGTAACTAGCATGTCATTTTCCAGCAGAGGAAACATAGTCCTCGGGCACTTGTCACAGGCCCGCCTGAGGGTAGCCCCAGAGATCCCTGTGACCTTTCTCCAACAGTGACTTCATTCTCTGGGCTGCCACCCGTGCCTTCTCTTATCACCATCTGAGCCTCCATGAATCTGGAGAATCGCCCTGGCCGGACATATGCATAAGTTGGCTAACTGGCCATGCATGTCTTTCCTTGCCTGGCCGTCGTCACCCAGGTGCCAGCACCCAGGCTGAGCCAGCCGTGGCTACACACAATGGACTGGTGACTGTTAGGTCCTGGGATTTTATTTAAAGCAGCCAATTCAGCCACGTCCCACTTGTGGCAGCTCTGCAGCCAGTCCTGTCCATTCACTGTCTTGTTGGGTTCTTGCAGTGATGTTGAGAGGCAGGTGGAAGGGAGAGAGGATTGATTGGGCCCATTTCACTGATGAGGAAACTGAGGTTCAGAGGAGGTAGGCAACTTGCTCAAGATGATGGCTAAAAGTGGCAAAATTGGAACCAGAACTCTTTTTTTTTTTTTTTTTTTTTTTTTTTTTTAG